GGCTGCCTTTCGGCGCCGTCTTTCGGGCTGCCTTTCGGCGCCAGTGCCTGCGGCTGCCTTTCGGCGCCGTCTTTCGGGCTGCCTCTCGGTGCCAATGGCTGCGGCTGCCTTTCGGCGCCGTCTTTCGGGCTGCCTTTTGGCGCCTATAATGCTTGCGGCTGTCTTCCCTGAACCCACTAACTGAATGCAAGCCAAGTGGCTAAGGCGGTGCTTCATCGGCCAGCCGTCGAGCATGCTTGTAGGGTTTGGGCTGGGGTTTCAAAAAAAACTTTTAGGGCTGAGGCTTTTCAGGTTCAAGGTTTAGCGTATTGGGGCTTAGGGCATGTTGGCATGGGTATGTATGAGTTTGCTGTTCGCTGTGTGTCAGACGACAACAACAACAACAACAAGGTCAAGGCCAACAACAACAACAACAACAACAACAGCTGTAGTAACACTAGCAGTTACAGTAGCAGTTACAGTAGCAGTTACAGTGACAGTAGTGATATAAACAACAACAGCAGCAACAACAACACCAACAGCAGCCCTAGAAGAACTGAAATCAGGCAAGCAAATCAGAAAACAAAAAAAACAAAAATCCAACAAAAACAAAAAATAACAATAATAATAATAATAAAAACTATTTAACCCCAAGTATCACCGGATAAATCAGGCTGGTCATGACGAAGGCATAGCTGGCGTAGGTGGGGCCCTGAACACGCTCAGCCACGGCTCCACTGACTATCGTGGCTCCAGCTGTGCAGAAGGCCCACCTTTCGTCTCCAACAAACGAAATGCCAAGCTTTGCTAGAAACGATGCAAGCAAAAAGCTTGAAAGTTCTTCCCGAAGCCAAGCTAGCCACTGAAAGAACCAACTCAGCATGGTGCTCTGGCAAGCGTTGTTCGCACACGACAAAGGAATGATCGTGCCAGCAGCATCTTTTGTGTAAAACCCTTCTCCTAGGAAGCCTGTGGTGCCGATGAAGCGGTTAATGCCAGCTCCGTAAGCAAAGGCCCAGCCCAGAATCCACCAGCCAAGAGTTCCAACGCAAACGTTCACCAAATTCTTCATCAGCACATTGGACGCATTCTTGGAGCGGCAGCAGCCAGTCTCCAGCATGGCAAATCCAGCATGCATGAACCTGGGTGGCTAGTCCAGATGTGCTCACGCATGCTCACAAAATATTGAGAATGTTCCCAAGGAAGGACTAGAAACATCACCAGGGCGCCACATAAGCAAAGCCAGAGGCTGTCCATGGCAGCAGCCATGCTGCCGTCCGTCCCTTCGAGCGCGGCTTTCGTGGTTTGCCAGGTGGCACTGGTGACATCGCCCACAACTTGCAAGCGACGCTCTTCTTCTTCAAGGTCGGCCAACTGGACAAACTGCTGCTGGATGATGCTCCGCTGCTCGCGAAGCTGGCCACGAAGCGCCTGCGACTACAGCATCCCTCACACAATCAAATCGGCGCATCTGCTTAGCGCATAAATATTTTGTCTTTCATGCCAGTGAAGACCATAATGTCAGGCACCTAGCCTCGATCTCAGACAGGATTCGAGTGCGCTCTACATCGTCGCTGGAGGCCACGACTGCCCCAAGAAAAAGCACGCAGGCTGCGAAACCTCACTTGCTCAGCAAGTCCAAAAGCCAGGCCCAGCCTAGTCTATGACACATGCACAAAGGCAAGACTTAAGGCCGCAAATCCTACACACACACACACACACACCCGTCACTTTCCAGGGTCCGGGCCGTTTGTTTTCATCTTCCTGAAAAAAGCCTACAGAAGTTCCTGCTCTTTCAAAGTCGTGAGCTTGAGCCGGACTTTGCGTTTGAAGACCAAATGACCAAATGCTAGCATGTTCAACAGCCAAATGGCGTCAGCATCGCACGGCAATTTACTGAACTATAGGTGGACCACGCAAGCTTTCGTACCACCGTACCTTGAATGCCCATACCATTAAATCCTCCTCGGTTTGAAGGAGATTCGTCGATGGATAAAATCATGCAGGCTACTTGGAATATTCGGGGGGTGTTTGCCAACCTGGGCAGATTGTCAAAACGGGCAGACCAGACCTGCAAGGGGTTGAAATGGGCTGAAGACCAAAAGTCTGGCTTACAGCCTTAGGCGCCATGAGACCATGTCCTGCATATCACGATCCCTCATCTGGCACTCAGCGATTCACCAGGCTCTGCAAGTTGAAAGCTGCGCAAAAGCCGGGCGGAAATCACGACAGCAGTCTGGGCTGCTCGCATGGGTTTGGTTTTTGCGCAGCTCGTACCTGCACCAGCATCATGGACAGAGCGGCTCATAATGTAGTGGAACATGGGAGTGCATCGAAGGGCGCACATGTGAGTTTCACTTTTGATTTCAAATCTGAGCCTGCCGCGCAGCCGAAGCGTGCAATTAGCAGTTTCTACGTGAGGCTTTCCATACCAGTCAGCTGACGCCTTCCAGGGCGTGATTCCTTGTTCGGCATCTCCAGCGTGTCCGGGTCCCACAACTCAAGTGCCTTCTGCCGAGCAATTACAGCAACATCCTATGAAAGCACTGAAGTGAGGCTGCCACCCCTGATTTGTCAGCACTAACACAGGCATGGACCCAAGGATTGTACCTGTTGGAGAGGACACGAATGACACAAGACATGCTGACTTGGAAGAGACTTGTTGCTGGGAAGCTGCGCAACCAAGGAAATCCACTAATGGCACATCCCTGTTACCACAGCCGCTGCAGAGTAGTAACAAGGTCGAGCAAACGATTTCTACGCCAGGCAGCACAATGAAAAGCGTGGCAAAGCGTTTCCTGCAATATCCTGACGCTTCAGACAACAAAGTCGTGAACGCCATGAAGCCGTTCAAGAAAATAACACGCCAGGTCTTTGGATCCCCGTGACGCCGTGACACATGTTTTGAAAGGAAGCCTTGTTGCGGTCGTGTTCCCCAAGCAATCTTGCCTTGATATAAAAAGGAAAGGCCAGCCGTGCCCGCAGCACGGCCGGCCAGCTACACGGCTTTCGCACGAAGCATCCTCGCATCGCATCTTGACTGCAGAACATACTCTCACCTCAGTTCCGATTTGTGCGAGGTCGCCATCCTTGTGACTGTCGTCGCTTTGCGACCTTGCATGTAGCTGGAGTCGTCTTCGGGGCTGTGAGAGCGCTTACAGACGACCCCCTGCGCCGCTCGGGGCCCCCATATGTGAAAGCTACAAGCTTCCAGCTGCCGCAATTCAGCGGCGCTTGAAGCACTCCGTTTGCCTTTGTCCCCATCACCATACAACGGGATCCAAAAATCTCATCACTAGAAAAAAGTGTGTGACAAAGAGAAGCTGCGAACGCATGTGAACACTAGAAGGCTGCACGCATCACGTGCAAAGCTGCACACAACATACCATGGCCAGCTAAAACCACAAGCCTGATGGCATGCGCAGGCTCGGAGTGCACCTGCTCTGGCGAACATGCTTTCTGAAGGAAGTCACTAACTGCAGTAACTGCAGCTTCATGCATTTTCATGCAGTTTCATTGCGTTTGAAGCCCAGCCTCCAGGGTGCGCAAAGGGTCAGCTGTGCCGCTTTCAGGCTGCAGGATGTGCACCTGGCATAACAGGCTCTCGTTCTCTGATGCCTCATAAAGCCTCATATCCTGCTCCTCCAGAACACCACTGCTGCAAAGCCAACGAGAACCTAGTTGCAACGCAATGAAAAAAGAATCGCTGAGCATTCAGCCTTCCCAGAGTCTGTGTCAGACCTGGAGGTCACTAGAAGAGCCAAAAGGCTGGTCAAGCACACAATGCTTGCAGCTGAAAAAAAGCTTGAGTGCCTGACACAGCGACAAGCGAGGTTGGGGCATTCTTCTTATGAACAAACTCCACTTGAAGTGGCTTGAACTTCAGCTTGATCATGCAGATCATGTCAAAGGACGTGACCTGGAAGGAAATGGCTTGGCGATTGAAGACGCGCAAGACCAAACATTCGAAGGAAATGTACGTGCTGACCTCAAAAAGCTTCAGCGCATTGTCATCGCCAATGGTGGCTAGTAACCTTCCATCCTGGGATGGACTGTATCACCAAGCCGCTCTGCTGCAGAAAATGCGTGGTCTTACCGGCCTGTGAAATGACCATGGCTTGCAGCTTTCCTGGCACTGACGGAAGCTCGAAGGTGTTCAGCCCATAACTTCACTCAGCACGCACCAGCCTAGATGTGCCCGGTAATGCTTGACGAACTCAATGCCCTCGTATTGTTTCTTCCAGAACTTGACCTGGTCTGGCTTGACACACAATATCCTCCAGCTTATTCTGCTCTTGCGATACCAAACTCATTAAACAAATGCTAACAAGCATCATGACCATCCTCACTGCCCGTCACGAGGAAGCCAGTGGCATTGCTGCACACTGCCAAATGAACCACATCTCGATGCATAAAACTCCTGACCAGCAAATGCCAATCCATGCCGTGCTAAGCAAGCAGGCAGGCAACCAATGCAACATCGGAGCTTGCTGACAAATGCTAGCAAGATTCTTCTCGTACATCTCTCCCTTGGGCAAATTGTCCAAGTACACGTGGGCATTTTTGAGCACCTATCTGTCACCAAGTCCAACTGTTGCAAAAGACGCGCATGCGGGGCCAAGCCCTTGATTTTTTGAGGGTCCTCGATCTTTCAGCAGTTACAATCGCTGGGCCAGCCCACACCCACGCCTTTTTGCGTTTTGGCTTTGTCTGCGCTGGTGCAGGAACAGGCCTGCACACGATGCATGATGACATTGATGCAACAATCTCAAAAAAAAGTGGCACCGCAAACTCCATACTCGACATTTGCAACCAGGGGGCATGGGGCCGAATCCATCATCATCATCGTCGTCGTCATCATCATCCGGATCTGGATCCAGTGGACGTTTTTCGCCCTGCATCTCCGGCATGGCGTTCGCCTCCACCAAAATTCTGTGCACATTGGAACTTGGAACATCACATCCATTCTCAGTGCCAGACTCGCCCTAATCAACACAAGCCAACTGGCATCGATGGCAATACAAACATGCACCACCCACGATGTATGAAAACCGTGGAATATGAATAACCATGTCTCCAAATCATGTTACAACATGGATCTCAAAACGACCACCGCTCAAAGCGAATTCTAAATTAAATGGAAACCACCCGAAACAATCTCGTCCCATGCAAACCATGTTCTCATCAAATAAAAACATCGCTTGCCGCGCGAAATCTGAGCACTGGAAAATGGCTCTCAACGGCTCCACCAACAAAAACGACCAAAGGAGCCATACATACATACATATCACTTGTCAGAGCTGTAATACATTTCATTCAATGTTCCAATCACATTTGCAACATGTGGGACTCACATACTGCAATAAACATCAATACTTCCATCTTTTCGAAGTACTGCCGCGCGCAGAACACACAACAGAGCGATGAAATACCCTGTTTCTTTTTCACATGGCGGGCTGGTGTCAAATTTGTTTGGGCGCATAGCTTCGGTCAGTGGCTTGACCCACGACCGACGGCATCATTTCCCCGAATTGGGCGGGTTAGACTGCAAAGCTTTCCGCCACTCCGAAATGCATACCTTGAGGAATGAGTTCCAGACATAACAAAAAATTAACATGAGACAAACATCCACAAAAACGTGCATGTCACATCGGCTTGGGAACATGTCATTGACAAACTCCAACAAACATGAAATGTTCCACTCTGGTTTATATGGTCTTTTAACAAAGCCAATTATTTTCAAACTGCTGGCTCATCAACACGGAAGTTTTCTGGCGCTATCTGGCGCTATCTAGCATTTTGTACAATGCTATCGGACACGTCCGACGATGTGCTTAAAACTCAAAATAGCATGCGCCGCAACACAAGCATCGTAAGTGAACCATACCACATTTTGCTGTCCGCAAATATGGAAGCATTTCCACCAAATAAATAACTCATCCAATGAATCCACGTCAAATAATTAACTTCTGTGGCACTCAACAATCAATACGCACACCACTCAAACGCAGGACTTTTTTTTCTGGATTGCGAAACAAGATGCTCTGGGAAAGCATGGGAAGCTGGATGGACCCACGTTTGTGGGACCCACGCGCAGTGTGCCCATGTCCGTATAGTGCGCACACACACACAGACACTCTGACGATGCAAGTGCTGATGCTCGGAACTCAAGACAGAACTTTGATCCTTAGCGCCCTCACTGGCACATGCACCTTTGATGCTGTTTCAAGAACTGTCTGACCCTTCAGGGTCACGCAAACCATATTTGGTGCAGAGAATCTCCATAATTTCTGACCATGTCAGACCGAACTCTAACACCAACCCTTCTTGAATGTCTCAAAAAAAGGACTTCACTGTTGCGAACAATATGCTGCCACCCTTGCGACTCTCTCAAAATCATAAGTGATAACTTTCACTCGGAATTGTGGAAGAATGTCTCCATAATCTGGCTCGGGATGCTCAGCATGTACAACTGGTAGTGCAAGAAATCGCGTCAACAGCTACAACCGACGTTAGGTTACAGCTACCCTTGAGCAACACCACCGCAACGCACCTTTTTCCGCACACACTGCGCAGCAGTGCGATCCGGATTTGAGGAGGTCCACAGAATTACTGACTACGGACGTAGCGCTATATCCTAGCTTGTCGCTAAGCACGGAACCGAGGTCGGTTCCTTGAGCCAAACACCGGCAGATGTGAACCTTTGTGCAGCGTTGAAGCAACAAACCTATGCACGGTACGCAAGTCACAGGACCAAGCATACCATAGTGCATAACTGGACATGGGCACCGACAGGGGTAGCCACATGTAGTGGTATAAAGCAACAACAGTACCATAAGATATCCTGCAGTGGCATTGCATGTCTGTCGACGCCCCCCATGTTGGTGATCGGAGAGTATCCAACGACATTTGACATGATGCTTTTCACCGGTTCACGTGGAAACCATCTGCCACACAGTGTTGATTGTGTAACTTCTGTGGATAGATTAGTTGCAGGGCTAACGTCGGCGATCTGCTGTTATGTGACACGTTTGTGGCAGCACAGCGATTAGCTTCAAATGTGCGTTACAAACTACAGTCAAGACCTCCAGTCCTAACTACCACAAACAGCATCAGTCGCCAAAGAAGAAGCCTTATTCCCAAATATCAAAACCAC